CCACTGAATTTCATTTTGTTAGTTAGCACCCAATGTTCAAGTCTGTCAAGATCCTTCTGTATCTTAAGCCTATCTTCTGGAGTGCTGGCTATTCCTGCCAGTTTGATGTCTGCAAATTTAATGAGTTCCCCTTCTATCACATCATCCAAATCATTGATGAAGATATTGAACAGTACTGGGCCCAAAACAGAGCCCTGGGGCATCTCACTACACACTTCCCTCCATGTAGATGCAATTCCATTGAGGACCATACCCTGAATATGGCTGGTCAGCCAGCTACAAATCCATCTGGTGGTGATGCTGTCTAACGCACATTTTTCAATCTTATCAAGGAGTAGGTTGTGGTCTACTTTATCAAAAGTCGATACTGAAGTCCAAGTAAATTATCTCCACAGCATTTCTCTGGTCTTCTAATTTTGTCCCTTGGTCAAAGAATGCAACAAGATTTGTCTGGCGTGATCTGTTTTTTACAAACTGACGTTGGCTTTTGGTTATGACTTTGTTTGCCTCTAGGTGTTCACAGATTTGTTGCTTAATTATCTTTTCCACAATCTTCCCAGGTATTGATGTTAGGCTGATAGATCTGTGGTTTCCTGGATCCGTTCCCCCCCCCTTTTTTTCTTTGAAGATGAGAATTGCAACAACTTTTTCCAGTCCTTTGGTAGTTCCCTGATGCTCCAGGATCTATGAAAGATTTCCACGGTCCCTTCTAGCTCTGTTGCTCTGTTATGGATCTGCTGTTTTCTTGGCAACAATATTGGACTCATCTGCCACTCTCTTTTCTGAGACTTTTCTTTTTTTACTTCCATGTCTACCCAACAAACTCGGTATTTCCTATTGGTGTCCCATCCATGTATTAACCAGGTTCAACTGTGTTCAAGCCAGCACTTTTTAAAAAAATAGCTAATGAGGACTTTTGGAGTGTTCAGTTGTTTGGGTAATCCTCGCTTATTGAGCCTTCAAAATTACAATGGCACTGTAAAAGCAAACGTACACCTGGTTTACAAATTTGTGGTCATTGTAGCACTTGTTCAGTGACCACACATCAGCACTTCCAGTGGTTATGAAGGTGCAGGAAAAGAAGCTGCACCAATTCAGTTCCTGCCACATTTATGATGGTTTCAGCATCTCAGGATCCCCATTTGTGATTTTCCCAGCTACCTTCTGACAATCGAAATCTGGGGATGCCAGCAGGAAGTTGCAAGTCATGGTCATGTGAAATTGCCTTTAACAACCCACAGTGATTTGCTTAACAACGGCAGAGGAACAGATGACAGTGGGAACTGTCTTGTGACATCATGCTTAATGATCGGGCTCTTAGGGACATAGATGCCAATCCCAATTGTGGTCAATAATTACTTGAATTGGGATATCACCCAGAAGGATTTTAGACAGTATTTTCTGCCCTTAACCTGGAGCTGAGGATTTCCATGGGCAAAACTGGTGCTTCAAATCTTGCAGAGGCTTTAGGCATCATTTCATCAGTTAAAGCCCTCACATCTCTAAAGTTAGCTCAGAAGGTTTGACTGTAACTATTTTGGGACATTTTTCAGGCTGAAAACACATGGATTTTCCACATATATACATTTGCAGGGGTGTGTATTTGTACTTCTTTCTGTATGTATATATCTACAATTGTATAATCCAGTGATGGTGAGCCTTTTAGAGACCGAGTGCCCAAACTGCAACCCAAAAGCCACTTATTTATCGCTGGGTGCCAGGTGGGCGTGGCCTACTGGATGGGCGTGGCTGTGGTGGTCATGGCAGATTGGGTGGGTGTGGCCAAGGTGGGCATGATCACCTCAATGTTGCTCGTGGGGAGGGACGCCTGTGGGGGCTGGGCAGGGTTGGGGGAGATCCAGGGGGTCTCTGGCAGGTGGGGCGGTGGGCAGGAGGCTCGTCCTGCGGGGTGAGGCGAGGCAGGGCAGGGGTGCCATTGTCACAGGGCAAGGAGAGGCAGACTCCAGGGCAGCTGCTGCCTGACACCATCAGCCCCTGCACACACAGGCCAGCGAGCGCATGGGTGCTGGGATGCATCCAGCCACGTGGGACCTCAGCAAGTTAGCGGGCGGCTGGTTGAAGAGGGACGGTTGCCATCTCCGGGGCATGGCACGCATGCCCACAGAGGGCTCTGAGTGCTGCCTCTGGCACGTGTGCCATAGGTTCGCCACCACTGGTATAATCTATCCCCAGTGCTTCCAAATGTTACATAATGTCCCTTTGTAGCGCTAAGAATGTTTCTTTTTTCACAAATATTTTATTAATTCATCAGAATACAAAATACAGAAGTGCAAAGAAAAATTAAAATAATGGTAAAATAAGAGAGGTAAAGGGGACAAGAGAAAAGTGTATGGGAAAGGGGGAAAGTAAAAAAAAAGCATTGACTTCTGACTCTTTTTGGTGCAGTAGAATAAGGGGATAACTTAAAACCTCGACTTTTTATTTTTACATGATAATATACACAAGCCATTTCTATACCATCAAACTTATCTAATCAACAAAACCCAAAATCAAAGTTTCATTTTTTTTCTATCTCAAGCAAAAAATCCAAAAGCAGTTTTCATTTAGAAACAAAATTAAGTTCTTTTCTTGAATCGAGGCAGTCATTTATCCATCTCTGCTAACTCCTTCGGGTTTTGCAGCCATTCGTCCATTGTGGGAATGAAAATATCCCTCCATTTTGGAGCATAAAGTATTCTTGCTGCCATCAAAACATATAACATCAAAATTCCAATTATTTTTCATATTCTTTATCCATTAAACCTAAAAGAAAACTCTGGTTTTATCTTTATGTTCTCTTTAAGAATCTTGTGTATTAAGATGTGAGTCCTAGTCCAATATTTCTTTGTTTTGTCACATGCCCATCATAAATGATCAAAAGTTCTTGTTTATATCTCCAACATTCGAGGTGTCTTTATACATTCTTGATAATTTCTGTAGTTTTAGATATCAACAGTCCATCATTATAAAACCATTTGTATGAAATGGTATACAGTGATGGCGAACCTTTTAGAGACCGAGTGCCCAAACTTCAACCCAAAACCCACTTACTTATCGTCAGGTGCCAGTTGGGCTTTGCTCACTGGGTGGGCATGGTTGTGGTGGTCATGGCAGACTGAGTGGGTGTGGCTATGGTGGGCGTGGTCACCTCGATGTTGCTCATGGGGAGGGACACCTGTGTGGGCCAGGTAGGGTTGGGGGAGATCCAGGGGGTCTCTGGCAGGTGGGGTGGCGGGCAGAAGGCTCGTCCTGCGGGGTGAGGCGAGGCGAGGCAGGCCGGGGGTGCCATTGTCGCAGGGCAAGGTGAAGCAGGGCCTGGGCCGGCTGCTGCCTGACACCATCAGCCCCCGCACACACAGGCCAGCAAGCACAGAGGGGCCGACAGTGTCCATCAGCAGCCACAGCCTACCAGCCCCTTGACCAGCGCACTCTGGGGCTCCGCAGCCCGCTGCCAGCAGTTCAGAGAAGCTACCTTTGAGTAGACGACTGGACGACAGCTGAGGAGACGATGCAGTGGGTCGTACCTGGGAAAAGGAGAGCATACGAGGCCAGGAGGGATGGGATGGGGGGGAGGGAAATCAGCCGTGCCAGGATGCATCTGGCCACATGGGACCTCAGCGAGTTATCAGGCGGCTGGTTGAAGAGGGACGGTTGCCATTTCTGGGGCATGGCGTGCGTGCCCACAGAGAGGGCTCTGAGTGCATGCCATAGGTTCACCACCACTGGTATAGGATTTCCTGCCTGAGCAGGGGGTTGGAGTGGACAACCTCCAAGATCCCTTCCAACTCTTTTATTCTGTTATATTCTCCCACTGTTCAAGCATTATCTTACATCCAAAGTTCTTTGTCCACTGAACCGTACAATATTTATATGCACATTCTGCAAGTTCAATTTCAATTACAGTTTACAAACCTTAGCAATAATATGTTCAACAGTACCATGCAATAGCATTTCCAATTCATTTTTAACACAATCAAAACCATACCTTTTTTTGTCTAGTTTAAATCTTATTTTCAACTGTAAATATATAAACCAATGGCAAGAATTTTTTCTGATTCCATCTCCTATTTAGATTTGAAAATAGGGTCACCATAATGGAATGATATTATTTGGCCATAAATCCACCAGTCTGGCCTCGCCCCCATTTCTTTTCTTTTAAAAAAAAAGTTCTTGCAGAGACACCCAAAGATGCATTTTCCTAGAGAAACTTATTTTATATTTCTTCCAAACTCTTAGGATGGCACATCTAACAAAGTGATTGTTAAAATCAACATTTGCTTTAACCTTATCATACCATAAATAGCTGTGCCATCCAAATCTTAATTCATGGCTGTCAAGCATCAAGTAACTTCCTGTTTTGGAGAATGACCTACTCCTTTTGCCAGATGAAACAAGCATCAAAGTACAATTTCAAATCTGGTAAACCAAAACCTCCTCTTTCCCTTAGCATCTTGTAATAATTTATATTTAGTTCTTGGTTTTTCCCTTGCCCTATAAACTTAAGAGATCTCCATCGGCCATAGTTTCAATGGACTACCTGTTACAAGTATTGGTAAAGTGAAGGTTAAGGTTTGTTCTCAGAGCTTGTGGGTTGGTTTCCAAATGTTTCATTACCAGGCTAGTTAACATTTTTGGCGGAGTTTAGGAGATGTCAGTGTCAGTGTTTTTCAGTATCAGTTACAAGTTTCAATAAAGTCTGAAACAGAACAATCGTTTTAGGTAAAACATTTATCTTAATTAGTGAGATTCCATCCAATAATTGCAGTGCTAAGAATTTGTGATTGATCCAGGTCAACAGGTGTATTTCATGATTGAATGGATATTTGAACTTGGATCTTGATAATCTTCAATGTGTCAAATTAATAATAATTAATGTTAGAGGTTATTTTAGCATTGTGGCATGTTTGCTTTTTACTTGTGATGTATATTTTTTTTCACATTTCTGAGACCAGTTTATAAACAAACAATTTTAAAGTTACACTTTTATTTAAATCTTACAGATGAAGGGTGTACCAAACGGATAACTGAGAATAACAAGCAACTTTGAAAATGAAAGCAAATTGATCCTTCAGAAAAGCAGACAATTCTTCTCTTTTCCCAGCTCGTGAGAGACAAAGGAGAGAAAATCAAGAAGAGATTTCATATTGGAAAAAGTAGAGTATGTAGAACTCAAAAATACATTACATGAAAAGGTCAAAGGAGATTATTTTTCCATTCAGAAAAGGAAGGAAATATTTAGAAATCAGTCGATTGGATAGCCACAAAGAGTAGACAGTAATGCAGGCCTCACCCTGTGTGAAAATAAACAATAGCCTGAATGAAAGTTCCAAGAAGATATCACACATAATTTTGATGTCTTCAAGAACATCAGTGGTGGAAAAGGTCCATAGATGTGCCTATGGTGGGAAAAGCATAGATTAGCAAATCATAGATTATTCGTGACAGGAGCCACATTGGAAAAGGCCATACAAATTACTCCAGTGTGGGAAAAGCTTTAATCAGAACAAGGAAGGACCCACTCAGGAGAGACACCCTATAAGTGCTCCCAATGCAGTAAATGCTTTTGTCACACCAGAAGAAAACCCTTGGAATGCTCTGATTGTGGGAAAACTTTCAGTCGGAATTCCAACCTGGTGGTATACCAGAGGATGCACACAGGAAAGAAATCATATGAGTGTCCTGATTGTGGGAAAAGTTTCATTGCAAATTCCCACTTGGTGATACACCAGAGGACTCACACAGGAGAGAAACCGTATGAATGTCCCAATTGTGGAAAAAGTTTCAGTCAGAATTCCAGCCTGGTGATTCACCAGAGGACTCACACAGGAGAGAAACCCTTCGAATGTCCTGATTGTGGGAAACGTTTCAGTTGGAATTCCAACTTGGTGAAACATCAACGGACTCACACTGGAGAGAAACCCTTTGAATGTCCTGATTGTGGGAAAAGTTTCAGTCAGAATTCTGACCTGGTGAACCATCAGCGGACTCACACAGGAGAGAAACCCTTTGAATGTCGTGATTGTGGCAGAAGTTTCAGTCAGAATTCCAACCTGATGACACACCAAAGGACTCACACAGGGGAAAAACCCTTTGAATGTCCTGATTGTGGCAAATGTTTCAGTCAGAATTCCAACCTGGTGACACACCAAAGGACTCACACAGGAGAAAAACCCTTTGAATGTCCTGATTGTGGGAAAAATTTCACTCAGAATTCCAGCCTGGTGATACACCAAAGGATACATACAGGAGAGAAACCGTACGAGTGTCCGGATTGTGGGAAAGATTTCAGTAGTAGATCTAGTCTTATAAGTCATGTAGTTTTACACACAGGGGAAAAACCTTTCAGATGTCCAGTCTGTGGACGATACTTCAGACGAAGATCATCCTTTATTACACACAAGGTAATCCATATGAAGCAAACGCTGACAAATTTAGAGAAGGCTTGAATTTCATTTCTCATTTCCCACTGGAAGTGTAAGTGAGAAATTGACAGTTTGAATTGTGGCCTGATTCTTTTTAATCAGCATCTCTCAGGATTAGATTTGTAGGTGGACAGAAAAGATTGGAAGATGTTACATTTGAATAAAAGCTAACTGTCTGTTTCTTTTTGTCAGCAGAAGTGACTGGATATTTCCTTTTAAAGAAGTTGTGTTTTTTTATATTGATTATGGAAATCCAACATCTGGAGTTTCAGCCTGATATGCAGGTTCTGAGGTTTTGCTTGATAAAAAATACAGGAAACCAGAAGTTACCTTTAAGCTTTTACATTTTTATTCAGCTGAACAAAGACCGACTCCTCTAAATGAGAGAAGCCCCGAATGACAAGAAATCCTTGTATTTATTGTTTCTAATTACATAAACAACCCATCCAGCAAAGCTGACACACATAAGATAAAGATTTCACCCAATAAGTCTGGCGTACTGTAGATAAGAAGGGAGAAAGCAGAAGTAGCTAAACATGTTCCTTTTTGGGTGTTTCCCTAAAGATATGGTATGTTCTCAGGTGGGTTAGGACATTGGGTGTTTTCCTTGCTGTCCTTTCATGACCCTGCATCCAGGACTCTGCAAATGCCCAAAGACAGCAGGCCATCTGCACATATTCACAACTAATACTTCCTATACTGTCTCCTAATACTGGGTCAACAAGCCTTCTATATCGGTGTCCAGGATACAAGTAGTCCTTGAGATACAACTGTAATGAGGCCTACCCAGTGGTGGGATTCAGCCAGTTCGCACCAGTTCAGCAGAACTGGTAGCTAATTTTTTGTGGCCCAGGCCCAGAATAGACTTCCGGAAGCGGCATCCACACAGAGAACTGATTGTTCACATATTTGAATCCCACCACTGGGCCTACCTATTATGGATGCATTCAGCAATGGCCATTAACCGAGAGTGCTTTCGTTAGCTACCCAAGTTCTGTTTTGCAGCTGTTAAATGAATGTGTGTGTCACTAAGTGGAACATTGGCTACCTCAGTATTGGGGGAAACTCTTGGAGGCCTAGCGCAGGCCTCTCCCAAACCCCCAAGACACCTAGTATTCTGCTTCCCAACCCTTGGTTCCCCTCAGGCCGTTTCCTCCCTTACAGGGTTCCCTCAGGCTTTTCCTTTCCCCTACAGATTCCCCATAGGCCTTTCCTTCCTCCTACCGGCCTTCTCCACAGAGTACCCTCAGGCTTTTTCCTACTCCCACTGACTCCCTGCGAGCCTTAGGCCAGTGATGACGAACCTTTTAGAGACCGAGTGCCCAAACTGCAACCCAAAACCCACTTATCGCCAGGTGCCAGATGGGCGTGGCCCACTGGGTGGGCGTGGCTGTGGTGGTCATGGCAGACTGGGTGGGTGTGGCCAAGGTGAGCGTGGTCACCTTGATATTGCTCGTGGGGAGGGACGCCTGTGGGGGCCGGGCAGGGTTGGGGGAGATCCAGGGGGTCTCTGGCAGGTGGGATGGTGGGCAGGAGGCTTGTCCTGTGGAGTGAGGCGAGGCAGGGCAGGGGTGCCATTGTCGCAGGGCAAGACGAGGCAGGGGCCGGGCGGTTGCTGCCTGACACCATCAGCCCCCGCACACAGAGGCCAGCGAGCATAGGGGGGCCGACAATGTCTGTCAGCAGCCACAGCCTGCCAGCCCCTCGACCGGTGCACTGAGGCTCCACAGCCCGCCGCCAGTTCAGAGAAGCTGCTTCTGAGCTGGACAGCTGGCCGACAGCTGAGGAGGCAATGCAGTGAGTCCTGCCCAGGAAAAGGAGAGCATGCGAGGCCAGGAGGGATGGGACGGGGTGGGGAGGGAAAGCAGCCGTGCCGAGATGCATCCGGCCACGTGGGACCTCAACGAGTTAGCAGGCAGCTGGTTGAAGAGGGATGGTTGCCATCTCTGGGGCATGGCGTGCGTGCCCACAGAGAGGACTCTGTGTGCCGCCTCTGGCACGCATGCCATAGATTCGCCACCACTGCCTTAGGCCATTTCAAAAAAATGGCTGTCCAATCTCCTCTTAAAAACCTCCATGGATGGAGCACCCACAACTTCTGGAGTCAAGCAGTTCCACTGATTAATTTGTTAAACTGACAGGAAATTTCTCCTTAATTCTAGGTTGGATTCTTTTTTGATAAGTCTCCCTCTGTTACTTCTTGTCCTGCTCTCAGGCGCTTTGGAGAATAGATTGCCCCCCCTTTATTTCTGCATCAGACCCTCAAATATTGAAAGACTGCTATTATTTCACCCCTAGTCCTTCTCTCTGTTAGACACTACTAGACATATCCACTTCCTGCAACCATTCACTGTATGTTTTAGCCTCCAATCCCCTAATCATCTTTGTTGGTCTTCTCTGCACTCTTTATAGAATCTCAGCATCTTTTCTGTATCTTGGTGACCAAAAGTGGACACAATATTCTAAGTGTAATCTTATCAAGCGCAGTATAATGCAGTACTAACACTTCATGTGATGTTGATACTATCCCTCTGTTGGTGCAGACTAGGACTGCATTTGTAGCTGCAGCACACTCCCCACTGATACTTAGGATGGTTGTCCACTCGAAATTCTAGATCCCTCTCACAGTTAACTGTTGTTGAGCCAGGTCAAAGTGAAGGTCCTTTTTAAAACTGGAGAGCTATGGGTGCCAAATGTTGATCTGAATGTTCATACTTACTTTTCCCTGTATCCTATGCCAAGGACTTTTTAATATGTGGGAGCATGGGGAATGCCCTTGACATTAAACCTACTGAACACTTTGCATTAAAAATGATTGATCCAGACACTGATTTATCCTTTGGAATAACATGCTGCCTGGAGAGTTTCCATTTATATCCTATCGAGCCAGTCCTGATTCCTCTAATCATTTCATTACATTCTCCCCTTTCCAATTTTCAGTGTTTCTCCAGATTCCATTTATATATAAGGCAAGTGGTTTCCATGGAGCACAAAACCTTGCAAGTAAAGTGGGGGGGGGAGAGCTGGGAAAAAGCCCTGTCTTTCCTTATCTCAAGAAGTCTCACCCTTTCTGCATCTGGGGATTCTCCCCCATTGTCCTGTTTGTGCCCTCTCCCCTCATACCTCATCACGCACAGTTGATGCTGTGGGGTGGAGGCAAGGGCATGGCCGCCATGGCGCTGCTGGATTGCCTGGGTGAATTGCCTGGGTGATCTGCGGTGGGCTCTGGAGGCGATGAGTGGCCCTGCGGGCAGGCGGGGTAAGGGTGGAGTGGGGGCAGGGCAGGGGATGGAGTGGGGGTGGGGCCAGTTTTGAGGCACTTCATCTCTAAAAGGTTCGCCATCACTGCCCTATACCATTTCAGACAAGTGGCTGTCCAGTCTCTTCTTAAAAACCTCCAGTGATGACATGCCCATGATTTCTGAAGGCAAGCTGAAATCAAGGTTAGATATTTTCTATGAAGATTCTCAGTCATCCAGGTCATACTTGTCCCAAAGACGCTTTTTTTTCCCCTCCCACAAGGCAACTGGACTTTCTTCATTTTTCTTTGAAGATGTTTTGCTTCTTGTCCAAGAAGCTTCTTCAGACTAAGAAGCTCCTTTGGATGAGAAGCAAAATGTCTTTTTTAAAAAAAAAAAACAAAAAAAAAAACAAAGTCCAGTTGCCTTGGTGGGAAAATAAGCATATTTGGGACAAGGTTAAATATTGTATTTGTAAATAATAATAATAATAATAATAATCCATCCTGCGACGATATCTGTAATACCATCAAACATCCACATCTGCCTATCCCAGGTCCTGGGTAAGGACTCCATAGGTAGACAAAATGCCAAATCCAGTCTGAACATCTGGCTGACTGTGCGATGATCCATAATAATAATAATAATAATAATAATATAAATAAATAAAAAAGTTGGAAGGTGCCTTGGAGGTCATCTAGTCTATCCCCCTGCTAAGGCAGGAAATGGAAGCATCTAATGCCGGGGTGATGGATGGTGGGTGTTGTAGTCCAACGACAGCTACAGGACTTTCTCCCCATCTTCAGTGTCGATAAATTTCTAATTTGTATTCAAAGGTGCACATTAGCGCATGCAAGTATCTCTTTTAATCTGGATCCTTGTTTTTGATCCTTTGACCTTCTCTTGGGGTGACGGTCTTTTGCGGGGCCCCGGCTGGAGGACTTTGGCATTGCTCGGCGGCGCCCCAATCGCCGCCTCCCGCAGCGGAGCTTTGCTTTTGCGCCTAGAGAGAAGTGTGTGGGGGGGAGGGTCTGGGAGGCCAGTCTCCGGCGCCCTTCCTGGTCTCCCGACATCTCTTAGGCCAGGGCTGCGGAGATTCCCCTCGCGGGGAGGGGCGCGCAAGGGGCGCCAGGCGGGCAAGGACTCTGCGAGAAGGGGGAGGGAACAGGAGGGGGAAATCCCCAGGGGGGGGAAGGGGAGGAGGGATTCCTCGGGGGAGGGAGGGATAGCGAGGTGGGTTTCCCCCAGTTGCGCCCCCTCCCTTTCCGAGTCTTCGCCTTTCTTTGCGAGATTTTCTGCTCCGTGGGCACTGCTACGCTGCGCTTCTCCTCAGTTGCTGCTTCCGCGAACGGCTCTCCGATCCCCTTCAAATCCCTCCCCCAATCTCCCCTCCTGCCCCGCAGCCCCTCCTCTTGGTGCAGCCCGACTCCCAGCGTGGGGGCTCCTGGTGTTTTCCGGAAGGTTGGGCCCCGCCGTTCCCACGTTCCCCTGTGGCTGCTGGGGAGGATCAGCCTCCCAGTGCCTGGAGGGGAGGAAGGGAAAGAGGACGGGGGAGGTCCGAGCTCAGAGGGAGCGTGGCTGGAGGCGAGGGCGGGAACCCTGCTAGGAGGGGGCCAGGGGCGTCTGGAAGTGGGTGAGGGAGACCCAGAGGCGTCCAGGTGGGCTTGGCCGATGGGCAGCCCTGTCCAGGTGGGCTTCCTTTGGGATGGAGCTCCTGAATCTGCCTCTCTTACATGCCCAGATTCCCTCTCTGGTGACTGCTGCGTCCCTGTTTCTGCAAGTGTAAGGGAACAGCACCATGGAGGTTTTCAATTTTAATTGCAGTTTTAGTTTTATGGGCTCTACCATCTGCCCTGAAAAAGAAGCAGCTTTCCAAAATGATCAAGGGGGTTCTGTGATATACAAGTGATCCTTGACTTAACAACAGTTCATTTAGTGACATTTCAAAGTTACATTGGCACTGAAAAAAGTAACTTAGTGACCATTTTTTTACACGTATGACCATTGCAGCATCCCCATGGTCATGTGATTTACATAAACTGGTTCATATTTATGAGGGCTGCAGGGTCCTGGGGTCATGTGATCCGTTTTTGCAAC